AACCCCATCACCGTCCATGTTTCTTATTCTTCATCTCTCTTTTTTCCCTCTTCTTTCTTCTCTCTTCTTTCTTCTCTCTTTCTGACAATGAAGGAATAGAAGAGAGAAAAGAGAAGAAAGAAGAGAGATGAGAGAGAGAAGAGAGATGAGAGAGAAGAAAAAATAGAGATAAGAGGGAAGAAAGGAGAGAGATGAGAGGAGAGAAAAGTGAGAGAAGAAAGAAGAAAGAAGAGAGATGAGAGAGAGAAGAGAGACGAGAGAGAAGAATGAAGAAAGAAGAGAGAAGAGAGATGAGAGAGAAAAGAAAGAAAAAAGAGGAAAGATGAGAGAGAAGGAAAGAGAAGAGCGATGAAAGAAGAGAAACATGGACAGAGAGAGAAGAAAGGAGAGCGAGACTAAAGAGAAACATGGATGGAGAGAGAAGAAAGGAGAGAGACGAAAGAAGAGAAACATGGACGGCGATGGGGTTTTACCGTCCATGACAGAGGAGAGAGAAAGGGGAGAGAAACATGGATGGCGATGGGGTTCCGTAGTCCATGACAGAAGAGAGAGAAAGAGGAAAGAAGCATGGACGGCGATAGGTTCTGCCGTCCATGACAGAGAAGAGAGAGAGGAAAGAAGCATGGACAACGATGTCCGCTGTGCATGACAAGAGAGAGAGAAAGAGGGAACATAGATGGCGACAAGCTCCGCCATCCATGACGAGAGAAAGAGAGAAAGAGAAAACATGGACGGTGATAGGCCCCGCCGTCCATGACAAGAGAGAGAGAGAGAAAGAGGGAACATGGGCGGCGATAGGCTCTGCCGTCCATCACGAGAGAACGAGAGAGAGAAAACATGGACGGCGATAGGCTCCGCCGTCCATGACAAGAAAGAGAGAGTCAAGAGAGATAGAAGAAAAGGCACGCACGACGATAGGCATTGCTGTGTGTGTCAGAAAGGACTTAGACATGACCCGGCCCGCCACTTGGGAAAGGGCCCGATTCATTGTCCTTGCGAGGGAATAGAGAAAGAAGTGTCACTAGCGGCGATGGGCATCGCCGTGCACGACAGGAGGGAGGAGGAACTCAGACAGAGGTCTGACCCGCCACTCGGCTTAAGGCCCTGTTCACTGTGCATATTCCAGAGATAAGAAAAGAAGGTGGACGTCATGCTCGGCGATGGGCATCGCCGTGCATGACTGGAGAGGAGAGAGAGAGAGGAAAGAATAGAGAGAGAGAAGGAAAGACAGAGAAGAGAAAGAAAGATAGACAAAGAAGAGAAAGAAAGTAAGAGAGAGATAGGAAGGGAAAATAGAGAGAGAAAGAAAGAGAAGATTAGGAAAGAGAGAGAGGATTAGGAAAGAGAACAGAGAGAAGAGAGGAAAGAAGGGGAAGAGAGACATGCACGACAGTGCCTACTGCCGTGTGTGGTGAGAGTGAAGAGAGAGGCAGAAAGAGGAAGAGAGAGAAAGACAAAAGAAGAGGGAGAAGAGAGAGAGAGATGTGCGGCGATGGTTACCGCCGTGTGTGTTTGAGGCAGAGAAGAGAGACAGAGAGAAGAAGAGGAAGAAGAAGAAGAGGAGAGAGAAAGAAAGAAGATGAGAGCGAAGAGAGGAGAGAGAAAGTTACCTTCACCAAGGACTTTTCTTCTCTCTCCTCTCTCTCTCTTGGACTTCACCCTCAATCTCAAAGTTTAACTTTGAATTTTATTAATTTGATCCAAGGCCCTTGACAATGGGGTATAGCGTTGTATTATAGACGTGGGCCCAAAACATGGGTGGATGTCTTAAATCTGACCTAATTGATGATAATTACAATTTATTTGAATTAAAATAAAATATAAAAATAGGTGCGGAATGACGGTTTTGCCCCTGCTCAACAATACACAAAATTCTAAAACAGTCCTTACTGCACCCATGGAATGTGTGCGATTTTCTTAGGCTGATTCCGGGTTGCTCCGGCGCTCGTTTGGCAAAAAAATGATTACTTTCTCGTTGGGCTCGGCATGACGATCGATTTGGTACAAACTTCGAACCACTGATCACGTTTTTAGGCCACGAACATGCAACTTGGAATTTGTACAAATCTTGGAAACTTCCGATCGATAGTGTGCTCGTTCCTTGATATATTTCATTGGTTTTTTCGCTGAATTGCATTAAGCATGCCGTCACAATCGCGTTGTAATAAGCGCTGCTCGATTTCGTGCCCGAATGAAGATTTTACCATCTTGGGTTTTTGGCCGGAATTTGGATTCTGGTGGCCAGAAATTTGCAGCAACTTTAATGCCTTCGTGTGTGAAATCTAACCATTCATCACGCGCGGGTTTCGGACCAGACATAGCCTTGGACCTTACCCATGTAATGCAACTGGTTTCGCGTTGATCGGGTACCTGAGCACCGTGATATGGCTGCTCGAGTGGGTCGTCCTACTGTTGATTTTCCTACAACTGTCTTCACGAATCACCTTTGTAGTTTTTCTCCCTGCTTGGGCGTCGTCATGGGTCGTGCCACCTATCAAAACACTCGTCTTGACGAGACGAACACACTTCAAAAAGTTTGGGGTCGATTCAACTCAAAGCGAGTTAGATATGAGTCTTCAAAGTTGCTGCTCGTGACTGTGCAAACTAGTCTCTTTTAATAGAGATTGGTGCAGGGAGGCCACACAGGAATAGCGTGCATCCTCTCCTCTTTCAGTCTTTTGTCCATAAACGTCAGTGTAAGCCGAAATTTGGCCCCTAGGGGTTTTCGACCGTGCCGGATTCAATGGTGATGATCCCACAACCATTTGACATTCCGAAACTAGGGCAAACCAGTCTCCCTTCTTCAGTGCTGGGTGAACACGTAGCCCAGTCATTCTCTTCTTCTCCTCCTCTCTCCTGACATGCACAGTAGTGGCAGTGTCGTGCATGCCTTTCGTTCTCTCTTTCTCTTTCTTTTCTCTCTTCATCTATCTCTCTTTTTCCTTCTCCTTTGTCTGGGTGAACACGTAGCCTGGTCGACATCCCCTCTTCTGTGTTGGGTGAACACGTAGCCCAGTCATCATCACAAGGCCGTCATAGGTACTGTCCGACAAGGTGAGGACTTAAAATACTAATCCGTCCACATCACAAATAGTCCACGCCAGGGTGAGGACCTCAATAGGATCCCGCAAAAGTCTCTTCTCCCCCAACGTCTCCACAGATGGACCTGCAACAAATGCATCCAAACGTCTGAGCATCCTAGTTACAGCATTGCGTGGATATCTCGGCGTTCACGTGGTTTTGTGGCTAGGAAGAAAAAAGTAATGAAGCCGAAGGAAATTTTTCGAATGTTGTCCTTCTCGCTTCTCTCGAAGCACAACATTCGACGGGACAAGCTGTTTGAACATATTTTTCAGCACCTTGGGTCCCCGATGCGGAATAAAATCCGGTCAATAAAGCCCTGACTTACAATGGAATTTTCAACAGTCTCAGAGTTTCCCTAGAACAGGTGAAAATGTTCCTAAGGACTTCAAAAGGCCATCTGTCAAGTTTCGTCGCAATCCGACATGTCTAAGGCAGTGCAGACAAAGAAACAGTTTCAGAAAAACGGTATCTAGCACCCTGAACCGGACTCTGCAACTGGAACCCTATTTTTGAAACGTCAAATGGTTGTGGGACCACCTCTATTGGATCCAGCACGGCCAAGAACCCTCAGGGATTAACTTTCGGCTTAAACAGACACTCCAGGACAAAGATATGGGCAAAAAACTGAAAAAGGAGATTGTGCGTCCTCCATTAAAGGAGATTGGTTTTCACAGTCATGAACAAAAACTTTTGGGACTCATATCTTCCTCGTTACAAGTCAAATCGTGTTCAAATTTTGCGAGCATGTTCGTCTCGACAAGACGAGCGTCGTGATATGTGGCACGTCCCGTGATGATATCCGAGCAGGGAGAAAAGCTAGAGAGAAGATGACGATTCGAGAACAAGGTTGCAAGAAAATGAGTAGTAGTGCGTCCCACTCTAGCGGCCATATCACGGCGCTCACGCACCCGATCGACACGAAACCAATTGCATTGCGTACGTAAGGTACAGGGCTATGTCCGGTCCGAACTCCATGTGTGATGAATGGTTAGATCTCACGCATGAAGGCATTAAAGTTGCTGCAGATTTTTGACAGCCAATATGTAAGTTCCGGCCAAAAACTCAAGATGGTAAAATCTTCGTTCGGGCACGAAATGGAGTTGTGTTTGTTGCAACGAGATCGTGACGGCATGCTCAGTGTAATTCCTCGAAAAAACCAATGAAATACATCCAGAAATGAGCATACTATCGATCATAAGTTTTCAAGATTCGTGCAAATTTCAAGTCGCATGATCATGGCTTAAAAATGCGATCCGTGGTTCTAAGTTGGTACCAAATTGATCTTCATGCCGAGCCCAATGAGAAAGTAATCATCTTTTTGCCAAACGAGTGCCGGAGCAATCCCGAATCGGCCTAAGAAAATCACTCACGTTCAAGGGCTAAACCAAGGACTGTTTTGGAATTTTGTGTATTGTTGGGCCGGGGCAAAGCCATCATTTTGAATGCATTTTTAGATTTTATTTTAATTCAAAAAAATTGTAATTATCATCAATTAGGTCAGATTTTAGGCATCCACCCATGTTTTCGGCCCAAGTCTATAAATATCATGCTATACTTCATTGTAAAGGACCTTCAATTGGATTAATAAAATTCAGAGTCAAGCTTTGAGATTGAGGGCCACGTTCAGGAGAGAGAGAGCGGAGAGAGAAGAAAAGTCTGGTACTTTTTGGTGAAGATAACTTTTCTCTCTGCTCTTTTTTCTTTATCTATGTTCTTCTTTCTTTCTCTTTCTTCTTCTCCCTTTATCTCTTCTCTCTCGACGTGCCCAGCAGCAAGCAACGCCGTGCATGTCTCAATCTCTTCTTCTCTCTCTCTCTCTTCCTTACCTCAAATATGCACGGCAGTAAGCATTGTCGTGCATATCTCTCCTCTCTTTCTCTCTCATCTTCTTCTTCTCTCTGTTTCTCTCTTCTCTGCCTCAGACATGCACAGCAATAACCATCGCCATGCGTATCTCTCTCTTTCTCTCTTCTTTCGTCTTTCTCTCTCTTCCTTTTTCTGCCTCTCTTTTCACTCTCATCATACATGGTGGTAGGTACTGCCGTGCAAGTCTCTCTTCCCCTTCTTTCCTCTTTTCTCTCTGCTCTCTTTCCTGTCTCATCCCTTCTCTTTCCTAATCCTGCCTCTCTCTTTCTTAATCTTCTCTTTCTTTACGTCATCTCTCTTTGTACTTTCTTCCTCTTCTCTGTCTCTCTTTCTTTCTCTTCTCTGGCTTTTCCTTCATACTGGCATTTATAGCCCTTCATTCTAGGTTTAATCCTCGGTCATGGATTTCTCTTCATACTTTAATCCTCCTATCGCCATCCTATTGCCGTCCTATCGCCGTCCTATCGCCGTAGCCACTTCCCAATATTGAAGTGGGCTACTTCCTCCTGAATATTGAAGTATGACTTGTGACAACCCAATATTGAAGAAGGTTGAAGTGGGCTATCGCTATGAAGTGGCCCACCAATATGAAGTAACCCAATATTGAAGTATGACTGGTGAAAGCCCACTTCAATATTGAAGAAAGTTGAAGTGGCCCACCAATATGAAGTGGCTACGGCGCCCAGTCATACTTTAATCCTGCTGAATACATGCATTTCCTTCATTCTAGGTAATTGTCCTCTTGCTCTGTGCATTTATAGCAATGTTGTCAGATCCAAAGTTGATCATCTTGTTTGAACTAGAAACAGGTGACCCAGTACTGTTTTTGGTCCAGTTAGGTTCCTGGACTGGCTGGTCCAGCGAATCTGTCATGGACTAGTGGACCGGCTGGTCCAATGTCTAGACTGGCCGGTTCATGACCAAACGAGTTGGTCCCATAGAAGTCTTTTAAAGGTCACTTTTGACCTCTTATGTTTTAGACTTTACTTGGGGGTGTTAAAAAACATTACTTTATGGAGACAGGGGCTTTTACGACTGTCTCTCTCTCTCACTCTCAATCAACACTAAAACTATGGAGCTTTGGGGTATGACTTGTGGTGAGATTTCTGGCCATTTTCCAATCAAAATCTGGACAAAGGTAAATCACTCAGCCTCCAAGTAGGTTCTTGTTATGGATTTAGAAATTGCAAAAGAAAGAAAGAAAAATGAATCATATTAGGCTCTTTGTGCATTTTTTTTTTCATTTTAAGTTCTTAATTTCAGTTTCCATGGAAAGATAACGAAAATGCAAGGGACATAAAACTGATTTATGTGAAAAATAAGGGTTTTTATGAAAATATAATTTATAAAACCGCTTTGAAAAATGAATACAGAAAATGCCTTGGTTGTGTTTACTTTTTTTGCCTTTGTATTTTAGGTTTTTAATTTCAACTTGTAAGGCATTTTCCAGAATATAAATTTTTATTCTTGTAAAATCCCTTAAAAATAAATAACGGAAAATGCAAAAGAAAAAAGTAAAAAAAAAAAAAAAATGAAAAATGCAAAAGAAAAAAAGAAAAAAGCTATTTTATGATTTTTTTGATTGAGTATCGAGTTATTGATGCTTGATGGGCTTTTTTTTTCTTGTTATATTTTCTAATTTTTCTAAGTTTTTTTCTGAATTTTCCATAATTTCCTATTTTTTGTTTTTTCAGTTATTTATCCATTTTTTTAGTTTTTAACTCTGACCACTTGTCCGAACCACCGGTTCGGTCTGGCTGGTTTGATTGGACCACTGCCCTCAGTCGTTTTGTCCTGAGTTATACAGCAGAATTTTACAGCACGCACTCTATTACATTCCTATGTTAGTTGATATTACTATTAGTCGTTTTCTATGTTGTAACTTTTTCTAGTTATTATTAGAAGATTTAAATGCTTTTCGTTAGGGTCTTATAAATATTCTAATGCTTGTAGTGTATGTAAACTCTTAATGTTGCGTTATATGATTTACGGTTCTGAGTCTTTTGACATACTCTAGTTCTCATACAAATGCTGAAACAACTTGACTCATGCTTGCATCTTATAGCTCAGATTTGAAAAGAAATATTGAGTTACTGGAGAGGAATGGGGTGACAAACCTCCGTACATTGGTCAATCTTGGCTCAGAAGTGTACATGCAGGCAGATGCGTATGTCTTTTGCTTTGCCTTTGCTGTGAGCTTCTCTCCCTTGTTTGTGCATGATTTGTTGCTCTTAGTGCTTCTATAGTCCTGAATTTTGTATGTCACTGCACTTTTCCAACGGCATGTTAGACAATATTTTGTTCATTAATTTTGATTCTGGCAGATAAAAAATAATTAATGCGTAGTAATTCTCTTTTTTTTTTTTGTTTCACATATTAGACTTTGGTAGAGGCGTATTCTCTAAATCTCCTATACCACTCAGTTCAATAACTGAACTATGGGATATTGTCAAAGATCTACCTGGGTCAATCAACAAGTACTTCAAAAAGTTATATATATTGACAAATAGAAATGTCTTGTGGCATTGACATCTTGTAACAACTGTGATCTGTTGACCGACTAACTTGGGTTTACCCATCTGGGTCATGGTTAATGTGTGAGTCCTGGTCATCTTGATCTGGAAGCTGGAAGCATAAGCTTTCTCCACTTTCTCCATTCATCTGGAGTCAAAGAAAATATAAAAACTAATCTTCTCCACTGAGAAGAACAAGTTCATTATGAGGAAGACAATGTACATCTTGTATTTGCAAAAGTAGAATGGTTGATGCATAACTATGAGAACACCTTTGTGTTATGAACTTACAATAGAGGTCAATGCCAATATGGTGTGGTAGATGGGTAGACATTGCAACTGATTGAAAACTACATTAATTCTTAGAACCTTGTTGTATGCATCAAAAGATGAGTATGAAAATGAGAAGAAATAGGGTTGGGTTCAAGATCTCTGTTACAGTTTTGTTTAAAGCCTGCAAGCGGATCGAGAGATTCATGTATGAAGAGCCAGTCCATGCCCACATACTAAAATTGGGGCTTGGTTTTGACAGTTTTTGAATGAGTTCGTTCTTTCCTGTGCATACTAATTGTGAGATGGTAGAAACGGTTTCTTCAATAGAATTTAGACCTTTTTTGGTTGGGAGTAAGACTTCTAAGGTAATGGTTCAAACTTCTTTATGGGTGGCGTTTGATCTTTCCATTTGCAGCATGTTGCCTACCATGTGTGGCAAACGTGGGGCCAAAAAGAGGTGCCCAGCTGTTCATCCTCATACCTTGTAAGGATGAATTACATGGAGCCATGGGACCTTCACCATTAATTAGAGGAAAAACTTCTAAGAAGATTGCCGAAACTAGAGGACTAGTTCTCTTCCAATTGGGGGAGTATGATGCAAATCACATCAAGGGGCTGGCTAGATCAAATGTTTCTGGAATTGCATTACTTGTTAAGTTGGACATGTTGGAATTGTCTTATGTGCTAGGTATGCTTTTTTAATTTGTCATTAAGAGGTTATTTTGGGTGTTGGTTTAAAGTCAATAGTAGAATAGAGTGCTGTAGAGTCCCATGCAGTCAACAAGTCAGAGTAATATTGTTTTGAGTTCCGAAGTTGAAGAATCCATGATATAGAGTTCCTATGCATGGAATTTGGTCGCATGGATGGGGGCTTGCAACATAGGAACCAGGTTGTATGCAAGCTGGTTTTATTGTATTGGGAATAAGGTATAGGTGTAGTTTAGTCATTTTCTTATTTTGTTAGGGGTACTTTTGCGATTGTCTAGGGCCCACTAGTGGGTTTGTGTGTGTTGTACATTGCTGTAAAAGAGGCAGTTGCTGTTGATGAATGAACAAAAAAATTAGAATTCTTATCCTCCTACATGGTAGAGAGAGAGAGAGAGAGAGAGAGAGAGAGTGAGAGAGAGAGAGAGAGAGACGACCACTGTGTGTAGTTAGTAGTTCTACGTAGTGTGTGAGAGAGAGACGACCACGTGTGTAGGTAGGAGGTCTTCGTACGTAGGTGTAGCTCGACAACACGAGGACGT